AAAGCTGATAAAGTGGCCATGCTGTGGAACAAAAAAGGTAGACAATTACTGTTTTAGCTAGCGATTGGTTTGTTAGCATCACATGAGGTTTTCATATATGTGTGATTGTTTTCTGGTCTTTCCTAAAGCCACTGCAGTTCTAGTGACCGCCAGCACAGAGGTTGATAAAACAGGAGCCTCTTACTATGGAGAACAGACGTTACATTACGTCGCCACCAATGGAGAAAGCGCAGTAGTTCAGCTGCGTAAGTACGGCTTTAAATAATGATTCATCAATAATTGAACTATTAATGAATAATTATTTACAGTGACAGTCTATTTTAAATGTAATTTTAGTTTTGGGTCATTTTTAGATTTGCTTTATTGCATTTATTTATTTTTATTTTTTAATTTATTTTTATTGTTTTGCTGTTATTTGTAACTTTCTATTTATCAATCCTGAAAAAAATGCATCACAGTTTCCACACAAAATATTGTGCAGCACGACTGTTTTCAACATTGATAATAATCAGAAATGTTTCTTGAGCAGCAAATCAGCATATTAGAATGATTTCTGAAGATCATGTGACACTGAAGACTGGAGTAATGATGCTGAAAATACAGCTTTGATCACAGGAATAAATTACATGTGAACAGATATTCACACAGGAAACAGTTATTTTAAATAATAATAATATTTCACAATTTTACTGTTTTTACTGTATTTCTCACCATATAAACACAGCCCTGGTAAGCAAAAAAATATCTTACGGACCCCAAATGTTTGAACGGCTGTGTCTGTTTTGAAGGAAATCAAACCTTTTTTGTAGCTCCATTAAGATGTTTTTGCATCATCTTTTCTCATTAATGTAATAGAAATAATATATATTATTTAAATGTAAATGTAAAGTGCTTATACATACTGTAATGATTGTATTCATTATGCTAGTTTTAATAATAAAATGATTCTGTTAATGACTACATAGATATTTTTTTCATCCTGCACAGCAAAGAACGGCCCCATATATGATGTATCCTGGAACCCCAACTCTTCAGAGTTTTGTGTGGTTTATGGTTTCATGCCCGCCAAGGCGACTGTCTTTAACCACAAGTGTGAGTCCGTGTTTGACTTCGGCACGGGCCCCCGAAACGCGGCTTTCTACAGCCCCCAGGGCCACATCCTCGTCCTGGCCGGGTTTGGGAACCTGAGAGGGCAGATGGAAGTTTGGGACGTGAAGAAATACAAGCAGGTGTCTAAACCCCAGGCTGAAGACACCACACATTTCTCCTGGTGTCCTGACGGAGAGCACATAGTGACGTCGACCTGCTCCCCCAGGCTCAGGGTCAGCAACGGATACAAGATCTGGCATTACACCGGGACTGTGTTGTACAAGCATGAAACGCCGTCAAATAAAGAGCTGTGGGAAGTTTTGTGGCAGCCCTTTCCGACTGGAGCCTTCCCAGAGAAGCCTGTGAAATACCAGGCGTCTCCGAGTGAACTCGGCAGCACTGAAGCCAAACCGGCGCAGGCGTATCGTCCACCCGCTCTCCGCAACAAACCCCAGACCGCCAGCTCCAAACTAGTGAGTTCCTGCAATCCTGGGCCCTATTCACAAAACATCTAAAAGTTGCTCATAACTCGCCGATTTAGGAGAACATAATGGGCGTGTCAGTCCTAAATTTTAGACTTGCTCAAGCAAGTATTTCACAAAGCGTTTTAGTGTTAAAACTAGCTCCTAAATCTGCCAAACGTTAGCAGTAGTGAAGAGGACTCCTAAGTCACTAAGACCAAACCACAAACTATCCTCCTTGCTGAAAAAACAACAACACAAACCATCACAGAAATTATAATGGTTTCCACTACAAATAGCCTAACATTAGAAGCCATCAACTTTTAACCATTACAAATGGTTTTCCGTAGTGTGTTTTGGGACATGTTCCACTAGGATTTAGTGGTTTTAACAAGCCAACAATAGAAGATGACCAATAGAGACCAACAGGCACCATTAAAGCCAGTATGATTCCCATTATAACCAGTAAAACCATTACATTAGCAGGGCTAAGATGGCTGTTGCCGGGAATCTGCCTCGGAACATAAACATTTTAGAAACACGCTGCATTTATTTGCACACACATGTTTTCCCACGCATCTTTTTTAGTTTTGGAGGTTATCCCAAATCCATATTTTCCTTTGATTATATCCTTGTTCTCATTAAGCAGCTATGTTCTAAGTAACAGCTGTTCTTGGTTTTCTTTTACATTTGCATGTCTTACTATCAGCCATGATCTACTCTGTTAATTAAAAGGCTGTTTATATGCACATCCGCTAATTGTTTTTGAGAAGCACACATGTAAGAGGCTGACAATTAGCTGAACATATACTTGTTTAATTAGTTACACTTAGCCTGCATTTTAAAATCTGTATTTGAATGTGGCAACATTTTTATTTTTAAACCTTTATTTGAATATGGCAACATAATATCGCGCTCTACAATATTTCCATGAATAAATCTCTGAGAGACTATTAGCCAATCACTGTGTGCATAGTTAATGAGCACGCTGACATCATCCATAGCAATGAGGTAAGCCCCGCCCCCTTGCTCTGAGCTTAACACTTCTCTCTATTCTTCAGTACAAGTTTATCTCAGCAGCTTTGTGAATAGGTTTTAGAAGAAAACTCTTAGCTAAAAACTTTTACTGCTATTTAGGAGAACTCTTAGAGGTAAGATAAAATGTTTTTGTGAATACGGGCCCAGATTCTCTTTTCCTCCAGATTATGAATGTCCTGTGACAATAATGTGTCTATCCAAGCATGAAGAAGAGCCGCCGCAGAACATGAAGCCTGGTGCTGCAGGAGAGAAGCAGATGTCGAAAGCTGCTTTGAAAAACCAGAAAAAGCGAGAAGCGAAGAAAGCAGCTAAGCAGGTACACCAGAGCTCGGTATTTGCATTTGTTCAATAAACCGTGAAGAAGAATAAGTGATGCATTCTGTTGATTCAGGAGAACAAGCCGGATGAAGCTCCGCCTCCGGTAGCAGACTCCGCCCCTGCCAGTCATGTGACTTCTAGCTGTGGAGACCCTGAAACTGACAAAAAGATCAAGAATTTGAAAAAGGTGAAATAGTTGGGATATGTTTACAATCAAATAAGATCAGCGTGTATACATGGGTACAGTGAGAAAAACTTCTTGAAGGGAAATAAACAGTGTCTTTTACTCAGACTTGGAATAGACCACAGAGTAAAATGGACCTACTTTTATGAAACTTTTTAATTAATTAATTAAATTAAAATTTAATTTAATTAAATTTTAATTTTTTATTTTTAATTTTTTTTTTTACTCTTGTCTCTGATGAATAGAAAGATCATAAGAGCTGTATTTATTTGAAATAGAAATCTTTTGTAACAGTTACTTTTGAGCAATTGAGCATGCTGAAAAAATAAATAAATACATACATACATAAAAAACAACCCCAAACAGCTGTGGAGACCCTGAAACTGACAAAAAGATCAAGAATTTGAAAAAGGTGAAATAGTTGGGATATATATGTTTACAATTAAGATCAGCGTGTATACATGGGTACAGTGAGAAAAACTTCTTGAAGGGAAATAAACACTGTCTTTTACTCAGACTTGGAATAGACCACAGAGTAAAATGGACCTACTTTTATGAAACTTTTTAATTAATTAATTAAATTAAAATTAAATTTAATTAAATTTTTTTTTTTTATTATTATTTTTTTTTTTTACTCTTGCAGTGAGAATAGCCTCAGCTGCCGACATGGCAACATACATTTTTTTTTTCAATTAAATAACCCTAAGTTCCCATTTATACCAGTTTTACAAAAAAAAAATTTTTTTTTAATTCTCAGTCAAAATGTAATTATTTTTAAATTATAGTGAGAAAAACTTCTTGAAGGTAAAGAAACAAACAGATTTGGAATAGACCACAAAGTAAAATGGACCTACTTTTAATTAAATAAAAAAATTTTTATTTAATTTTCTCATTTCTTTTTATTTTATTTTATTTTATTTTACGTAGCTCTTGCTGTGAGAATAGCCTCAGCTGCTGACATGGCAACATACCTTTATTTTGAGTAAATTGTCAAAATGTAAATTATTATTTTATTTTTTTAATTGAATAACCCTGTAAAGTTCCCATTTATACCAGTTTTTTAAAAATGTAAAATGTTTTTCTTTCCCTGTCAAAATGTAATTTTTTTTAATTACAGTGAGCAAAAATGTCTTGGAGGTAAAGAAATAAAATTGTCATTTACTCTTGACTTGGAATAGACCAATTTAGAGTAAAATGGACCTACTTTTATGATACATTCACTTTGATTTTGTTTTGTTCCATAAGAATAGCCTCAGCTACTGGTATGGCAACATACCTTTATTTTGAGTAAATTGTCAAAATATTTTTTTTAATTACAAAACCCTGTAAAGTTCTCATTTATGCCAGTTAAAAAATATATATATATATTGTACATGTATGCCAAATGTGATGCATCTGGCATGTGTTAATGGGATTTTCATGTTTATCTGGCAGAAACTCAAAGCCATTGATGAACTCAAGGAGCAGCAGGCGGCCGGCAAAGTCATGCAAAAAAATCAGGTAATAAAGCAATGCTCATCAGCATGATTAAAGGTTATTTATTATTATATAAATATTATAATAGTCCCCCCCCCCACCTCTTTTTTTACAGCTTGAGAAGATGCAGAAAGAGGCCCAGCTGTTGAAAGAGCTTGAAGACCTTGAATTAGGATTGTAAACTCACTGTACCAGTTTTCACATTAGTCATCAGTTTTCAAACCTTGCTTTGTCATATTGTAGTGAATATGTATTGAGATGACTTTTTTCATGATCAATAAAATAAGAGTCTGTTTTGCTTCTTTGAACATGGCTAATATAATAAGTACTAAATTCTCAAAAGCAATATTGCTATGCAATGTGACGTACAGCACAAGAGAGCATCCATGGAATACGAAAAAAAAAATGTTGAAATTCAAACTGCGTGACTTTTATTATGTCTGTTGGCGAGCCGGAAGTGTCCGTTTCTCCAGCGTGAAACCAAAGCAGTCGCAGATTTTAGCATAAACGCAGATGAAGTTGTTGACAAATAAACTCAACGGGACGAAGCAAAAGCAGCAGGTATTTCAGGTTTGAGGAGAGCTCAGTTCAGTACACTGAGTTTGATACCCGTGGAGAGTTAGCGAGTGTTTATTTGTGATGTTTAGATGAGCCGGTGAAATGCTATTCGTATAGGTTCATACATCACGCCTGTGTTTGTGTTCAATTTTACTCTAACTACTAGTTATTTCTGGCGTTCTTGTAAATTATCCCGTAATATAAATGTATTTGTATTTATTTTACACGTTTAGATGACTTTCAGGCTTTTGGCATTAAGCAGTTCAGCCGTTTTTTAGGAGCCACAAAGACGATACATTTGTGCTAAACAGCTCCTCACTTTTATTATTTGATTGTTTTATCTGATTGTTCTTAAGTTGTTTGTTTTAAAAATTAAACTGTAACTTTGAACATTACTTGTATGAATCAAAGAGGGGATTTAGTATAGCCTCGACTCTTGAAAACCCCTCAATCTAATTGCGTCAATGATATAATTTTAATAAGCAATCGTCCTAGTTTGTGTTCAGAATAAGAAATACAAATACAACCCTTTTAGCACGAGTTTTAAGCTCAGGTGTTACTGTACTCATTTATTTATATTTATTGATTCTGTCAAATGGGTGTTCTGTTTTACACATCAACATCAGAGTTTGAGTTGGAAATTAAAATTATGTGACATTATACATATTAATAGCTGTTTTTGATGGAGTTTAACGACAAATATATCATGCATGTAAATGTTTTATATATATATATATATATATATATATATATATATATATATATATATATATATATATATATATATATATATATATATATATATATATATATATATATATATATATATATATATATATATATATATATATATATATATATATATATATATATATATATATATATATATATATATATATATATATATATATATATATATATATATATATATATATATATATATATATATATATATATATATATATATATATATATATATATATATATATATATATATATATATATATATATATATATATATATATATATATATATATATATATATATATATATATATATATATATATATATATATATATATATATATATATATATATATATATATATATATATATATATATATATATATATATATATATATATATATATATATATATATATATATATATATATATATATATATATATATATATATATATATATATATATATATATATATATATATATATATATATATATATATATATATATATATATATATATATATATATATATATATATATATATATATATATATATATATATATATATATATATATATATATATATATATATATATATATATATATATATATATATATATATATATATATATATATATATATATATATATATATATATATATATATATATATATATATATATATATATATATATATATATATATATATATATATATATATATATATATATATATATATATATATATATATATATATATATATATATATATATATATATATATATATATATGTATCCCTTTTGTAAAGCAGGAAGCGTTAAGAAGAAAAGAGACATCTGTGGCAAATCTTTGTCTTGTAAGTCTTGAAAGACACATTTGAATTTGAGCATGAATTAAGATTTAATTCTGTTTGTATCCTGCAAGTCATGCATCAAGTATGCATTTTGTTTTTCTTCCTGTTTTTAGAGTCTGCTACACTTGAATGGACGCGGTGCCCACAGGTACACAGGTAGAGCTGCTTTCTGCTCTTCACTGACCCTCAAATATTGAATTGGACAGGAAGGAAAACAGCTGTCGGCTTCAATTTGTTCTGTTCGTTTGTGCTTTGTTTAGTAAGACCAAACCAACTCACCCGAACCTCAATTATGCCCGTGAAAAAGAAAAGAAAGTCGTCCGGATCCGAGGACCCCAGCATCAGAAAGTGCAAAATCACCAGGTAAAAATATTTGTGAGTTTCTCTCTGCATCTTTCACTCTTTCATACATCAGCCGCTGTATCATCACCTCTTTAAAATCCAGTTACTGTAGGACGCAAACTCCAGGACGGCTGCTTAACCCAGATGACCAGTTCTCTAGCAAGAAATGTCTCGCCTGGTTTTATGAATATGCAGGTACATAAACCAATACTTTCCTTACTCGCATGCAGCCTTTAATAAAAGCCAACATAATTTTTTTTTTACTTTGGTAATGTGACATTTCAAAATGAAACTAAAGGAATAGTTCACCCAAAAATGAACATTTCCTAAAAATGCGTTCACCCTCAGACCATCCAATGAGTTTTTCTTCATCAGATTTGGAGAAATGTAGCACTGAATCAGTGTCTCAGCAATGGATGCTCTGCAGTGAATGGGTGCCGTCAGAATGAGAGTCCAAACAGCTGATAAAAACATAAGCTCTGTCTGTGAAACCAGGTCTAAGGTGTTTTTAACTGTAAACCATTGCTTCCTGCTAAAATACGAGTCCATAATCCATAATAACTCTTCCTCCAGTGAAAAGGTGTTCTGGTGTGAATCTGGAGAGAAATCTGCACAGATCAAGCAGCGTTTAAACAGCTCTGAAAAAATATATGGCTGGATTTTGATGTGAGACACAACAGGAGATGCACTTTTTCACTGGAGGAAGCGTTATTATGGATTATGGACTCGTGCTTTAGTTAAAATGTCTTAATGCTGGATTTGTTTCAGCTTTTGTCTTCTCCAGATGTTAACTGATGGACTGGAGTGCTGTGGATTACTTGTGGATTATTGTGATGTTTTTATCAGCTGTTTGGACTCTCATTCTGACGGCACCCATTCACTGCAGAGCATCCATTGCTGAGAGACTGATGCAATGCTACATTTCTACAAACCTGATGAAGAAACAAACTCACCTGCATCTTGGATGATCTGAGGGTGAACACATTTTCTGTTTTTGGGTGAAATATTCCTTCTTGAGCTGATCTGATTATTGTTGTGGTTTTAAATGTGTGTAGGTTCAGATGACATTGTCGGACCAGAGAGCATGGAGAAGTTCTGTGAGGACATCGGAGTGGAGCCAGAAAATGTTAGCAAAAATGCATCTATATGTTTCATAGAAAACCCTAAAGTTAGGTGTTGGGAATGGTCTTCTATCCAAAATGTGAGCCTGCAGCACAAAAGCAGTCTTAAGTCGCTGGGGTGTATTTGTAGCAATAGCCAACAATACATTGTATGGGTCAAAATTATAGTTTTTTCTTTTATGCCAAAAATCATTAGGATATTAAGTAAAGATCATGTTCCATAAATATATTTTGTATATTTCCTACCGTAAATATATAAAAACGTAATTTTTGATTAGTAATATGCATTGCTAAGAACTTCATTTGAACAACTTTAAAGATGTTTTTTCTCAATATTTAGATTTTTTTGCACCCTCAGATTCCAGATTTTCAAATAGTTGTATCTCGGCCAAATATTGTCCTATCCTAACAAACCACACATCAATGGAAAGCTTATTTATTCAGCTTTCAGATGATGCATAAATCTCAATTTCGAAAAATGGACCCTTATGACTGCTTTTGTGGTGCAGGGTCACAAATAGGGGAAATCCCTTGAAATAATGTGCACTGTGTTTGTGTAACCCTTCAGATTGTAATGTTAGTTTTAGCCTGGAAACTTGAAGCAACAAATATGGGATTTTTCACAAAAGAAGAGTGGCTGAAAGGAATGACGTCACTACGGTAAGATGTTTAATGCCTCGAACGTCATGAGAAATCATTCAGTCCGAAGTCTTTTATTATGCTGCCGTTAAACTTCTCTGATGTGTGTACAGTTGCGACTGCACAGAGAGATTACAGGGCAAACTGGATTATATGCGCTCTCAGCTGAATGACCCGGTTATATTCAAGAACATTTACAGATACGCCTTCGACTTCGCCAGGGTGAGAGGATGACAAAAATGCACTTGTTTTCTCCATTTTAAGATAACTTAAGCATTTTAGGATAAACATTGCTTGTTTGTTGTATCTGTATATAATTTACGGTTAATTTTTTGTCTGCTTATGGATGTTTTTTCATCATATTCATCTGGTTTTATATATTATGTAGGATAAAGATCAGCGCAGTCTTGATATGGACACTGCAAAATCCATGTTGGCACTTCTCCTCGGAAGGACGTGGCCTCTGTTCCCAGTTTTCCACCAATTTCTGGAGGTTTGTCATCTTTTTCTTCAAACCAGACTGTCATATCTGCTCCAAATTAGGTGAAAAAAACACAATCAAAGCAGGGCTTGACTTTTTCTCTTTTTTTCGTCCGAGGAGCACATGTGCTCCTAATTTGAAAACTTTAGGAGCACATATAAAAACCTTCAGGGGCACAATATAATTTGTTTTTACAAGGGACACAAGGAGATATTTACAAATAAAAAGGCTTTTGCAACACTTTTTGTATTTGTTTTTATACAAAAAGCACACTAGGTTTTTAAATATTTCCGCTTTAAACTGCATTTATTTAATAATAATACTACTAATTCTGAATGTTGAATTAAATGCCAGATACGTTTGTGTGACTAAAATACCAATAACAATGAGACTCTTATTTTGAAATGTCTTTACTACTTCCAGCTGCGCATTCAAATCTAAATCATATTACAATATGAACACAGTATAATAGTGTGGTATTTATTGATCGTGAACTGCTCTGAAACTGCAAGCCTGTAATACGTGCAGCATCGCCGCATTTAAACATGCAACACTCATGTTTATGTCATTAAATCGTCTCCTTTTGAAGTTTAATTATCACATTAAGCTGTATTGTGATTACTGTTTAATGGGCCCACATTTACAACCCATTCCAATGATAATGAATATGTTTGTTATAGCATTTAAGATATTTTCATGGCCTTAAATTTGAAACAAAACCCCCGAATTTGAGACTTTTTACTAGTGCTGTCAAACATTTTTAAAAATTAACTAATTAATTGCACGTTTTTCTGTAATTAATCATGATTAATTGCATGTTAATATGTTTATATCGTCCTAATCTCACATTGAATCTCCAAATTAATGTAGAAACGACATAAAGATGGCATCTTTTTACTAAGCAGCCTATTATTAGTGAAGGTCAGTATCATTGATATCAATGCTGCTATTGGTGTCTCTATTAAATGCATTTCCCCATTAATTATAGCCATTCAAATTACAGTATAATTAATTATAACTGAATTTACTTATTTTTTGCATTTTAGCGCGCTTGATACCATGTTCATATTGTCTACTATAACACTAGCCAAGGGATGCCAGGGGAAAAAATAGATTCTGCGTTAAATATTTTTACTGTGTTAAACAAAACAAAAAACCGCTTTAATTTTGACAGCCCTGCTTTTTATTGCTGCAAGCGAAACTCTCACACTGCCAAACCCTCATAAAAGTAGTACATTAAAAGCCAAACTGAACCATATGTTGTCATTGTTTGTTTTTTTTAGACTATGCATTTAAAAAAAAACTGAATTCATTGGTATTTGTTGTTTAAAGTGCTGTGACTAACAGAAACGTCTCTCCTCAGCAATCAAAGTATAAAGTCATGAATAAAGACCAGTGGTACAACGTCCTAGAGTTTAGCCGTACGGTTAACACAGACCTGAGCAACTATGATGAAGACGGAGCCTGTAAGTGTGCTTGATTCCTCTCAGCTTCTCTCAGAAGATGTTTCTGAGTTAAACGGCTGCTGATGTGTCTGTGCTTTCAGGGCCAGTGATGCTGGATGAGTTTGTGGAGTGGAATAAAGCCAGAAATGCATTATAGCGCAAGCAGACGTTTTTGTTGTTTTTGGCTGTGCCCCAGACGATGGCATACGTCTCGAGGACTGCTTCAACATGTCCCACATCACTACCCAGAGACTCTTACGGTCTTGCTTTAAAAGGAAACTGCACAGAGGAATCACAAGACGAAAGAGGAAATATTTTTCTTATGTATTGAATTTGTTGCAGCAGTTCTATTGCCAGTGTTGTATGAATTTTCTTAGAGGGAAACGGTCTGTTTGTAATTTCCTTTCCTTTTCTTTTTCTCTCAAAGTTTTACTTTGTTTATAGTGTTTTGAAAAGGAAATAAATAAAGCAGTTGTAAATTAATTTTTCTTCTGGATTTTAGTGACTGTTGGAGCAATAAAGCATTTTCCAACTAAAATCTAAATGAAGCATGAATAAAAAGATTTACCTTACGTACACACAAAAACTCACCACGGCTGCTTTTATTTGATCAGATATACAGTAAAAAATGTGAAATATTATTACAATTTAAAATAGCTGTTTTCTATGTGAATATATATTAAACTGTAATTTATTTCTGTGATCAAAGCTGTATTTTCAGCATCATTACTCCAGTCTTCAGTGTCACATGATCTTCAGAAATCATTCTAATATGCTGATTTGCTGCTCAAGAAACATTTCTGATTATTATCAATCAAATATTTTTCTGGAAAATCTGATACATTTTATTTTTCAGGATTCACAGATGATAGAAAGTTCAAAAAACAGCATTTCTTTGAAATAGAAATCGTCTGTAACATTATAAATGTTTTTACTGGCACTTTTGATCAATTTAATGCATCCTTGATGAATAAAAGTATTAATTTCTTTTTTTTTTTAAAGTTACTACTTTTGAAAGAACAGGTGACATTGCCTATACATGAAACACATTTAACATACAATTGATGCTTGTAAAAAAATAAATATGTGACCCTGGAGCACAAAAGCAGTGTTAAGTCGCTGGGGTATATTTGTAGCAATAGCCAACAATACATTATATGGGTCAAAATTAAGTTGTATCTCGGCCAAATATTGTCCTATCCTAACAAACCATACATCAATGGAAAGCTTATTTATTCTATGAATATATATATATATATAGACAAAATAGCTGAATCTAAATGTACACTTGATAAGGCTAGTGGTAGTTTTAGACTCAAAAAGGAAAACGCTGAATGACAGATCAGCCTGGTCTAACCACAAATACAGTGTTTTCAGTGTCATAAATGTGTCCCTCGGCCTGTTTGTGAGTCTCCAGTGTCTCCTGCTGAAGCTGAAACACTGTCTTCATCCGCTTGAATCGTCTGGCCGTCAGTCGACTCTGTCTGGGTTGATGTAAAGAGCTTCAGACTGTTTCATGATTGCATTGAGTCGTGTCAGTGACCTCGTCTTCACCCTCCATCCCTGAGTCTTTGATATGGCTGTATGGAGCCCCTTCTTCATCATAGTTGTAGACTTTAATGACGCGGATCTTCTTCTTTGGATGTGGACTAGCTGCTGATCTCAACTGTGGGGTTTGTTCTTCTCCTTCACAACTCTGAGGCTCATTTGACTCGTTTATACCATTTCCAATAGCGTCCGCATTATCAACATCCATGCGTTCCCGAGCAACCAAACCAGTGTCCACAGTGTCTTCTCCAGCGGTTTGGTTTTTATGGAAGAACACTGTGTCAGTTTGTGCTCTGGTGGTTTGTAAGTTCTTCTGTCCATTAATGTGATTGTGTTTTCTATGAGGCATGCGGGCCCTTATAGTTCGTAGGCACTTCATCACGTAGGATCTACTGAATGCACCGAGTGTGAAGGCTACTAAAAAGCTCACGATTACTGACGATGCCACAGCTGCCGCGAAATGGCTTTCTGACACCGTGTCGCTGTAAACCCCTGCCTCCCTGGTCTTCCTCTGCCGTTTCTTGATGGGAACTACGTTAACTCTATAAGGCACGATTGTTTTGCTCATCTTGTCCAGACGGACACAGTAATAGAGTCCATCATGGCTGGATGTGGCTCTTGAAATCTTCAAAGTGCCATTGCATGTGTACACTGGGTCTTTGTTTTGGTGGTTACAGCTGTCAAACAGACCAAAAGGTGTCTGCCAAAACTGCACCAGCACTGCGGAGAGAAGAATACAACCATCACGACTGAATAGGTATGTTTCATAGCTTAAAACACTGAAAATGGAGCTAAATTTGGGTTCTTTTTCAACAAATTGTCAGTGAAAGGAAGCACATAATTTAAAAAAAGTGTGTGTGTGTGAGTGAGTGAGTGTGTGTGTGTGTGTGTGTGTGTGTGTGTGTGTTCCAGGGTCACATATATATATATATACATATATTATAATACTTGATACTTATTTGATACATATATTTGATACTTTAAATAAAGTAAACTCACTGGAATTAAATAAAATATAAAAAAGCTAGATGCCAAGTCAACATTTCTCATTTTCAACTTCATGCACTAAAATACTAAAACTAAAACTGAAATGAAAACCATAACGACAAATAAACAAAAACTATTAAAAATGACCAAAACACACAACAAAATTACTAAAACTTCAACTGAAATTAAAATATAGAAATATATGAAATAGAATAGAATAATTAAAAAAACTATAACAGTATCTCAATGATTATAAAATAACACCGGGTCAAACAAACTAAATGCACTTTATAGTTTTATTTTCTGTTTATTTTATATACCTTATTTTTCACAATTCTCCACAAGTCTGATTTCATCATTTTCTATAAATAGGTATAAGAAAACAAAGCCAAAAAAAATAAAAAATACTTGATGTGACCAAATGCTTTTTGTAATCTATTGATAAATTAAAATTTTCCATAAATTCAAATATTTTTACTACCAACTTGGAGTTGAATGGTTAAGCAAGACGAATGCACTCAACACTACAATGTATGTAAAATGTAATAATTTTGCGTTTAATAATTAAGAAAATGGAATAAGATTATAGACTTCCAGCATGTTGTAGAAAGACATTCCTGTCTTTTTGTGCAGCTCACCTTCATCTCCTTGACTTTGGCACCGAAGCGTCAGCTTTTGTCCTGGATGAATGTGAGCTGAGTTTTCAGGTCTGACCTGCAGACGGTTTATTTGAGAGCTCATCAGAGTCTGCAGCGACTCTTGAGGGTTTCTGTGTGCTGCAGTTTTAGATTTGACACACAGAGAACCCCAGAAGAGAATCAAAGCCACCAGAGAACTGATGCTCAACTCCATGGTGTCTAGAAGAAACTGAGAAGTTCAGTGTGTTTTTGACTGCTATTACCAATATTATTGCATTATTAATAATTGCATAAATATAAAACTAAAAAAATATATACAGCTGCCCCACTGGTTTGACTTCACAAAACACAGACAAAATCTGAAGTTCATAGTATGTCAAAAAAACAAAATTTCTGACTGTTTTGAAATGTAAAATCATGTAGATATATGGCATAAAGTATAGATCAGCCAGTCAAAAACTCACAGCAGGAGTGCTGAAGTCTGTAGTTTTCTCTGAGAGAGGAGTAAAGTACAGTCCTCACATGACAGCTCTTATATTTCATCTCGTGCTCCGTGTTTAAAGATTAACATTTTTCTCTTCAGTAATAGGCTGTCATGTGCATGTTTTCCAAATGTTTGAGTTTATGTCATAACAGTTAGAGGCGGTTTATGGTTGAAGAATGTGAGCTTTGGGTCATTAGTAACATTATTTGTCTCATTATGTATGCAGAAGAACAAATGGGAAATTGACAATCCAGCATTCTGTTATTTAAAAAAAAAATCAAACATTTGATCCATTCAATGCAATACAGCAGCAGAAAAGTCATTTTTGGCAATATTGATTATACATTTCCGTCAGTGGTGCATGTGGAAAAACAATGTTGAATACTGAAAAAATAATAATAAAAAAAAAACTTTTACTTTTTTTTTTACACTTTTTACATACAGACTTTTGAAAAGGGTACAAAGAAAGAACGAAGGTTTTCCCTTTTGATGTTGAAGTCAAAGGCTGTGCATCTAAGCATACTTTATGTATTTGGGCCAGTATTTGAGCCATTTCAATGCATTTGAATGTTGTATTTTAAGGACATTTTGTTAATTTAGTTCAGTAAACAGTTTTAAAACTGTGCTTTAAGATGTAAGATTTGGGTCCTGAAGCAGTTGAGAACCACTGATTTAGAACTTGTAATTTGTATCTTCTCTCTTGCGACTTTCTTTCTTTCTTTCTTTCTTTCATATGGAAAAAAGGAAAGAGAAAGGTGTATTTTAGTTCATTGATCTAAATGCGTTTTCTCCACATAAATTGTATACAATTATTTTCAGAGTTAATTAGTTGCTGGTCTTTTATGGATGTTGCAGATCACGACGCCCGCCAAGTTTATTATACTATGTGATTGTATATAGACAACTTTCAGGCTGCCATGTCTACTTTAAACTGCATTTCATAGTAATCTCGATTCTACCTGCTTGATCTATTTCTACAGCGAGCCTCATGAAACATTCGTGTTTTTGCCACACGGTGGCAGCAGGAAACTTAAACATCACCATATGCTCGCTAAAACTACACGTTTTGTGTTTTTCTTTCATTTTTTGTCTTGCTTTTCTTAGCTGCCTGTAGAAAGCTGAATCTAAAATGACAGCAAAACTCTAAACAGCGCGTAAAAGGCCACATTGTTTCTCAGAAAAGTTTGATTATGTGGCTCGATGGCCCCGTGTTTCCCTTCTGATGAATTGTGATGAGTTGCAGAAACACACACACACACACACATGTTGTGTTTCCATGTTTTATGGGGACATTCCATAGGCGTAATGGTTTTTATACTGTACAAACTGTATGTGCTATTGCCCTACACCAACCCTACCCCTAAACCTACCCCTCACAGGAAACTTTGTGCATTTTTACTTTCTCAAAAAAACTCATTCTGTATGATTTATAAGCTTGTTTCCTCATGGGGACCTCAAAAATGTCCCCACAAGGTCAAAATGTACTAGTATTACTATCCTTGTGGGGACATTTGGTCCCCATAACGTGATAAATACCAGGTACACACATACACACACACACACACACACACACACACACGAGTGTGAGCAGTGAAGGCCCCTCCCTCAGACTCAGAACACAGAGAACATGAAACACGAGGAATTAAACACACAGTCTCTGGAGGACTGAGGAGAAACCTGTGGACATGCGTGTGTGTTTGTGTGTATGGAGCAGTAAATCATAAGAAACATCATCTGTTCATACCTCATTTGAATATCCTCAAGCAGGAAGAGTTTTGCAGGTAAATGACGGCATTTAAGGTTCTTGCATCATTACAGATCATATTTAGTGGGTATTTTTCAAATGAGTGTGAGTGTGTGAGGTGTCCATGTGGCTTCACTCAAAAAAGACCCAAAAGCGCACGTATCCGCGGTGTTTTCAGCTGTTTTGAACGCATTTAGTGTTTAGTTGTAGTTTGTTTGCGTGTGTGTGGAACGTTGAGAAGAGAGGAGTTACATTGTAACAGTTTGTAATGCACTTCATATAGTGATACATTTGACCGGGGTCTATATTTATGACTAATTCGCATATGAAGAATTGTTTAAATTGTGGTTTCCAAGCCTGGAAAACTCATGAATGAAGTCTTGTGAGTGCAATCTAGTTTTAAATTTGCGATAGTTACAAACATTTGCAAAACATACGGGAACCTTGCTTTAGTACATTTGATACAATGTAACGTTATATTCAGTACTTTGTATTGAACGCGAAACATTCCAAACATACTGACCTACGTATTGTCCCTCTAACAATAAGTTAGCTACAATCTGTACTGTACATAAACAGACTTGTTTATGAACTGCATAAGGTTTTTTGTTTCATTCACCAAAAAAAAAAAAAAAATGGGGATGCTTAAATGACACTTACAATTTTTAATAAAATTAAACTTGACTTCATACATCCACTAAAATCATGTAAATCCTGACATATCAGGTAATATAATAGTCAGATTTGTATAGAATAATACATTTTAGACATATTTAAAAAAAAATGTTTTCATATGTGTTTTATGTTTTGTATCATATTTAATGCTTAAGGAGTAATATAATAGTCAGATTTGTATAGAATAATACATTTTAGACATATTTAAAAAAAATGTTTTCATATGTGTTTTATGTTTTGTATCATATTTAATGCTTAAGGTTTTTATGACTCATATAGTATGATACAGTGAGAGTATGGAGCTCAAGGAGTAAAAACAGCTCAGTTAATTTCAAAGGCCCAAACTGAGCAAAAATATGCAATGTTGTGCTGATGCTGATATTTATATGGCCAAAAAAACATTTTTATAGCCTGTAATATAAATCAATGAGATCTTTATAACAGTACAGCAGATACTTACATAATATAACATAAATATCAGTCATCATTCTATATCTCCAATAATACGTCTTAGTAAGATGATCTTTAAATGCTTAATTTTATGATCAATGCTCTGTAGCTTCAAAACATATTATGCAATGCATTACAGTGCTGATTGAGAGATGCAAAAATAAATGTTTGATCATATTTGATGCTCACATTTCTAAAAAATGATTTATGGATAATCAAGTAAACCTGAGTTGCTTCAGTCCTTGAAATAAGAGATTTGATCACTGATGACACATGATTTGATATTTTATTTTATAATGCAATGACAATGAGTCATTTTAAGTTTTCAGATGCTTTCTAACTGCCCAAATAAATGGCACCAGTTAAAGACGCACCCTCTGTCTCGTTCTCGTGATCCTGAAGGTCTGTGTGTTGTGAAAGGTTATATTGTGTTTGTCTTCTTGTGCTATCCGTGTGATGATGATGTGGTTCGGTAATTCCGGTCTGGATGGGTGTATGGTGTCATAAACAGATTCATCTGAGCTCCGTATCGATCTTTTCTCTCTCTCAGTCGTGTGTAATGCTTTTATGGCTGTGTGCAGATGTGAATGGGGTTTGTCTTCCATTTGTAAATCCTGCAGGACGACTTCTGGTGCTCCGTCAAGAGTGATAAACACCAGAGCAGAAAGCAGAAGCGTACAGTAAACTAAAGGAGGGCCCAGTCGTGTTTATCAGATGCTTGGAGACAATTTCAGAATTTTTTCCCCTTTTTGGATGTTCTGGTTTGACAGTGTGATACTGACTCATGTCTAACGGCTCATGTGGCTTTTAGCGTGAATGTTAAACAGTTTTACATGAGGAATCATTCCCAACATGTTGTTCCAAACCTGTATTATTTTCTTAATGCAAAACAATTTTGCTTCCATAATGTGTATTTTTTTTCAGACTAGTGGAAAGAAAACATCCAGAATACATATTAAAGTGTTTATTTTATGACACTTTATCACTTTATGGTCTGTAGATTTCAATTACAATACGTATTTTCAAAGGCCATAGGATTTTCTCCTGTATCACTTACATTAGTTTTATTCCTATTAAATTTTAACCCTGTTAACCTGTAGTGCTTGCCATAAACCCCATATTATTTTATTTTAAACAAAACAAGATAACCAGAATGTCCAAACACCTGCGTTTTCACATTTGTGTTAATTTTACAGTGTGTTCTTAAAGGAACAGTTCACCCAAAAATGAACATTTGCTGGAAAAGTGCTCACCCTCAGATCATCCAAGATCAGGATGAGTTTGTTTCTTCATCAGATTTGGAGAAATGTAGCACTGCATCAGTGTCTCAGCAATGGATGCTCTGCAGTGAATGGGTGCCGTCAGAATGAGAGTCCAAACAGCTGATAAAAACATCACAATAAATCCACAAGTAATCCACAGCACTCCAGTCCATCAGTGAATATCTGGAGAAGACAAAAGCTGAGACAAATCCAGCATTCTGACGTTTTTAACTCAAATCCGAATACACAAGTCCATAATAACGCTTCCTCCAGTGAAAAAGTGTTCTGGTGTGAGTCAGGAGAGAAATCTGCACAGATCAAGCAGCGTTTAAACAGCTCTAAACAAATATGTGGCTGGATTTTGTGAGACATTTCTCAACAAACTCATCTACATCTTGGATAACCTGAAGGCAAATTTGAATTTTGGGGTCACCTATTCCTTTAATGTCAAACTGTGTTAAATGTCATTCAGGCCTGAGAAACATATCCAAAACAGTGTTTCGACATCAGGCTTTTTGCTCTATGATATAAATGACAGCCATAACTCAGTTCTTGTTCTGAATAACAACCATAGGCTGTTTCTTCTTAAAACGCACCCTTATGTCAGAAGCGATCAGGCAGAGTAAGGGATGTTGCAGTAAACCGATCCCAGCGCTCCGCTCAATAACCTGCATTACCATCTTCTGTCTGCGTGTGGTTCCAGACTGCGGGATGTTCTCGTTTGAAGAGCAGCACTTCTCAGCCCTGAGGAAACAGTGCCAGCAGAACAGGACTCTGTTTGAAGACCCCGGCTTCCCCGCTGTGGACCAGTCGCTCTTCTATCATGGAAACCGCATCGGAAAAGTCACCTGGAAGAGGCCGAAGGTAAGAAACAACTGCAGGTTTTAAGATGCACATTCTACTATCTACTAGTCATTTATTGCATAATGTGAATCTGTTTGTGTTTAGTTTGTAATCTAGTTTAGTTTCGTCTGAAAATGTCGGTCTGTTTTCCCATTTGTATTAATGAATAAATGTAATTATTTTATAATCCAATTTATTCCATGAATCTGATCATTTAACACATTAAGTTCGGAATTATAGTATGAAAATTGATATTAGTCTACTTTACCTATTCTATTAAATGTAGTTTATAATCCTTTTTTTTTTTTTTTTTAAGAAATTTGATTATTTAATTCTTAAAGTTCAGGACTGAGGTATGAAACTTGATATTGGTCTATTTTACCAATTTTATTTTTTAAATAAATAAAATTATTTTATAATCCAATTTATTTAATAAATCTCATAATTTAACACTTAACGTTTAGGGTTAAAGTATGAAACTTGATATTAGTCCGTTTTCCCTATTTTATTAAATTTGTTTTATAATCACATTTATTTTGATAGTTTAACACTTAACATTCAGAACTGAAGTATGAAACTCGATATTGGTCTATTTTGCCTATTTTATTTTTAAATAAAACTATTTTAAAATCCAATTCATTTTGCAAATCTGATAATTCAACATTTACATTTCAGGATTACATTTTGAAACTTTATATTGGTCTATTTTCCCTATTTTATTATTACATCTAATTATTTTGTAGTCAGATTTATTTAATAAATTTGATAATTTAACACTTAATGTTCAGGATTAAAGTATGTAAGTTGATATTGGTCTTTTCCCCCGATTTTATTATTTATGATTTTATTTATTATGTTTGTTATCAAGGATCACCCTATTTTATTATTAAATAAATACAATTATTTTCTAACCAAATGTATTTAATAAATCTGATACTTATACATGTGAACTATTTTATTATTTTATTTATTTCGTAAATTCTAACATTTAACACGTAACGTTCAGGATTAAAATACAAGCTTTAAAGTATGAGCAAAACAATAGTTAGCAAACAGCACTGATTCATCCAAAGATTTGATAATTAGTGCCCTTTCATAACCAATAATGCACTTGAATCAGTGGAAGGTGGCTGTTTAGACTAAACCCATCTCCTAAATAACCTGCTCGTTGTCATTAATCATATCTGATCTGTGCGTTTATGAAAGGTGTGGCCGTAGATCTTGTGTTACTTACGCATTTAAACTCATGCCAGATACATGTGTTTACAGTTAAACAATAACCTCTTCATACAGTGAACGCTTGATGATATTATATTTAGCCAAAGATTATAATAGTTATTGTTTAGAAATGTGCATGAGGAAAGGTTTGTGTACAGGAATGGTTTCCTGCAGCTGTCATAACTGGAGTCTTGTGTGTGATAAATAAATGTTTTCTTAGCATGTCAATAAACCTGAGCCAGGGTGTATATAAATAAACCAAAAAATACAAATAAAAACTGATTTCATATGCAATATTCAGTACCCTACCATTCAAAGTCTGACTGAAAAAAAAAGTATCTTCTGCTCACCAAGTCTGCATTTATTTGATCAAAAATACAGTAAAAACAGTTAAATATTATTGCATGTAAAATAATGTTTTCTATGTGAATATCTGTTGAAATGTAATTTATTTCTGTGATCAAAGCTGTATTTTCAGCATCATTACTCCAGTCTTCAGTGTCACGTGATCTTCAGAAATCATTCTAATATGCTGATTTGCTGCTCAAGAAACATTTCTGATTATTATCAATGTTGAAAACAGTCGTGCTGCACAATATTTTTGTGGAAACCGTCATATACAATAATACTCTTAATTTTCAGGATTCACAGATGAATAGAAACTTAAAACAGAAATCTTTTGTAACATTATAAACGTCTTTATTGCTGTTTTTATTTTGATTGACCCGTGTATTTTAAACAGTAGTGTATATTATCAAGTCACACTGAATATGACTGCATGAAATATTAGCATCGTTAACCAGCTTGTGTGACAAGTCCTCGGAAATTCATGAATAGGCACAATTTAAGCGAAAGCCTTTAGAGCAGAAGGTCTTAAAATAATGAAAAAACTTAAATTTAATCTAATTTCATGTCATGTACTGTATGAAATGTGTGTTTTCTCTTCCTCCTTCTGATTTCAGCAGCATTTAGCTGAAGCTCATTACACAAAAACAAGCCTAAAACATCGTTGTCATTTAAAACTGAATCCAGTCCATTAAAGGCTTTTTGGCAGTCCATTTAGTTAAATATGCCTGAGGTTTTAAGTAATCCTTGAATGGACTGTCAGTGTTAGACAAGCTTAAAGCTTGCTAATGTAACCGTGTTTGCACAATGATTTTCATCTGTAGATTGTTTGGTTTTGATTGTCTGCCTGTTTTATCATCCGGCAGGTTTGGTCACTCAGTAAAGTAACAGCACAAACTCACAGTCTTTGAGAAACACGAGCATTAGAGTAGTAAACACCATTTAGCAGGTCACACAGAGCAGCGTTGCATTGCTTCATGTATTCAGGACACTCCCTGTTTCTCCGTGCATCATGAATGACGGACTTCTGTTCAGGCATGTGAGTGCAATGTCGTTGAACAAGTGCAATGCAATCTTCCGCCCACCGGAAACCTCCTGTTTGCTGAAGCAGAAGTCTGTTTAGTTCACTCGGGCCGGTGGCACATCAGGCCTTCACTCGTGAAGCAACTCTTCCTCACTGCAGCTGTTGATTTCTTCAGCATCTGAAATAATGCTAGAGAGGTTGTGTTGAGTAAAGCTGTGCAGGGAGAAGGAATAATCAGTGGCTGTGTCTCATTTAGGCTGAAGCATTTGGGGGGAAAATAACTTAAAATATAAAAATAACAAATAACTTTTTTTTTTTGGTCATTGCATTTTAAAAGTTTTTTTTTTTTTTGCTTTGTTTGTTTGTGTTTAAAGCTCCATGTTTACTATGTAGGGCTGCAAAATAAGTGTATATATATATATATATTTATATTTATAAATACAAATATTTGTATTAGTTAATGAAATATAATTAATAGTTATAAAATATAATATTATAGTTAATATAATACTAATAATTTTATCAGTATTATTATCACATTGATATAAAATGACAATATATACATTTTTAGGCCCAACTATGCAGCCCTACATAGTAAACACTGAGCTTTAAACACAAACAAACAAAGCAAAAACATTAATAAATAAATTTAAAAAATACTTTTAAAATAAAAAAACAATTTCACTGTAAAATAAAATTAAGTATCATTGATTAATGAAAATATAGTGGTTTCTTGTATTGTAATACAATAACAATATATGAATATTGATGTTTATTATTATATTATTAGTATTAAATATTAAGTAAAATATAAAATTTCCCTTGTAATAAAACATTTTACAGTTTATTCCAGTGAAATAGTTTTATTACAATGGTAATATTTTATATTTTGATTTAACATTTGTATAGAATAATAATAATCATCATCATAATTTATATTATAATACAATATATTAATATTGATGTTATATTATTGTTATTACTGCATAAAAATATTGATCAAATATAAAATATTACCATTGCAATAAAACTATTTCACTGGAAAACTTCACCAGGCTGTAAGCATGAATGCATATAAAAACAAGTCAGCTGTTAACAATTTTAATGCTTGTTGACTTTTATATTGAGATGCTCACCAATTCAATTCTGTTTTTTTGTTTTTGTTTGAATATCTAGAATTTCATGTTGACTTTTAACCAGAAAAACCAGCTTCCCTGTGTTTGCACATGCAGTTCAGGAGAAAACTAAACTAATCTTTTAAAGGCTTATTAAATGAACATTAAGCAGCCGTTGACAGCGGACAAACACACGGCCCTGCGCTTCTGTAACTGGCTCTTTGTCTGTCTGTGTGACAGGAGCTGTGTGAAGACCCGCACTTGTTTGTGAACGGGATCAGTGCTCATGACCTGCACCAGGGGCAGCTGGGAAACTGCTGGTTTGTGGCAGCCTGCTCCAGTCTGGCCTCCAGAGAAGCTCTGTGGCAGAAGGTGAGTTCATACCATTAGTGCTTAGTTACCATGATAACTTCTACCTAGTTACCGCTCTTTGTAACACTTGCAACTTGTCATGTTTTATGAGATACTGTAAAAAACTGTATAAATAATTAGATCATGATGTGAGCAACGCCAAGGTCATTTCCCAGGAAATGCATGAGCTGATAAAATGTGCATCTTAAATGCAATGTGAGTTGCTTTGGATAAAAAATTAATAAATCTGCCAAATGCATATACGCTACTGGTTGAAAGTTAGGAAAGGATCATGCGACTCTGAAGACCAGCTGCTGAAAATTCAGTTTTGCATCACAGGAATAAATTGCATTTTAGAATATATTACAATAGACAACAGTTATTTTAAATTGTAATAATATTTCAGATTTTTACTGTAATTTTAATTTGAAAAAAGCAGCGTTGGAGAGCAGAAGAGACTGCGTTCAAACACAAACGATCATAATTATTCTAAACTTTTGACCATTCAATTCAAAATTTAAAACAAATACATTTTAATTAAAATAATAGCTCAAACAGAACGCAAGAACTCTTGGCGAATTTTAATTTCTTGTTTTGACGCCAGTGATGGCTAATGCTAATTATCCACCTTCACTGGAATTAAAATAACTAATTATGTTATTTTGTCTGAATGTGTTTTTATCCACCTTATTTTTCCCGTAAGAGCGGTCGTGGTCATTGGTCAGTTTAATGTGTCTGGCTTCCGGTCTCATCCGCATCCAGTGATTTTTAAGCTGTTTAAAACCTCTCGTTTTGCTGCTTGAGATTGCAAACTGGTGTGTCTTACCATATTATTTTTATGCATTATCTTAATTATGAACACACTGGTTTGTTTGTAATGCAAACAGTTTTGACATTTACTGCACATTGTTATTCTTCTCGTTATTTCCCTAATAGCGGCTAATGAACCAGAAGTCTTGCCCATAGGCTTACTTCTGCGTTCAGAAATAAAGTGGATATTTGTTAGAAATATTTCTATTTTTATTAAATTGCAAGGTGACTTTACAGTTTTTTTTCTTTGCAAAAAAAATTTTTTTTGTTTAAAAAGCATTACAAAATTATTTACAAGTATTTTCTTTACAAAACACATTACTGGTTGGTTTGTAGTTTCATTTTATTTTTAGTTTGATAATTTTTCTAATATTTCTATTTGACTATTTTTTTCAATTAAAAAAAAAATTGTAAGTATTTTATTAGTTTTTAATATTCTGATTCAACTTTAATACATTTTAATTTCAGCTTTAGATTTAGTATTATTATTAGTTTTTCTATTTCTCTATGTGTCTTTAATTAATTTGTTTTTCAGTTTTAGTTTTAGTCTTTTTCGTAGTACTTGAATGAAAATAGGAATATTGCCTCGGGGAGAGTTTTTTTTTTTTTTCAAAATCTTAATTTTATTTCAGCTTTGTATTATTTCGCCAAAGCAATTTTTTATTAGTTTTAGTGTGAGTTTTAGTTAATAATAACAACATAATGTTTCCAAAACAATCACAAGCCATTTTTGCGATATTGACAAAACATCGGACACAGTGTGAAATACACAAATAGTTTTCTAACAAATAACGAATGTGTTATTTTTCATGAAATCTCAACCTCTGCTGAGTGTTTGATTGCTATTGTTTATACAGCGGTCCAGTGAGCTCATAATTTCACACAGAACGTGATGTTTCCTCATTATAGCTGCACTGTAATTCTTCCAGAGTGAGCCTTGGGATGTGCTTACCGAGCAAACGCTGCGTTATTAGGACGAGTCTTGTTTCGAGAGAATCAGATGCGACTAATTGGAGACTTGGGGTTATCACATGTTCATTTGTGTCCACACACGACGCGCAATCGTGGGCAAACATGGCCTCCCCCGAGACGTTTCCTCGTTTGTTTCCCTGTGTAACACATTTCCAGATCCGAGTACATGGAAAGAGTTTTTTTAACGCACTTCCGTTCACTCGTGAGATTACAGTCGCTCCACATAACTCTCATTAAAGCACCTGTCGCTGTCACACCGCTGTACACTCATCTCCCTCCTGAGGTCTAATTACTGTCCTGTAACGCATCCCCCTGAAGACACACACTCACATAGTGAGACAGCATTTAACCGTGCTAACGCTGGTCTTAAAAGTAGGGTGCAAACTTATGTTGCCATTCAAGACAGCATCACATCTTAATAGAGAAGACAATCCCAGAATGCATTGCAACAAGCTCTGTGAAAAAATAAATGTAATTAAATTGTTTCTTAAAGCCGCCTTTGCATTATAAAGGGTATATCATGCATTATAATTATTCATAACATGCATCGTAATACATTATATCTTGTTAATGCATTATATCTTGTTAAAATGCATAGTGTAACAATGAATTGAAAAGTGTTATAATGTAGTAACTGTGGTTACAATTATTCATGAGACTGTACAATGCATTATAAGGTGCATTACAAGGCATAACTAATGCATTAAAACAAGCTGTCACACCGCTGTACACTCATCTCCCTCCTGAGGTCTAATTACTGTCCTGTAACGCATCCCCCTGAAGACACACACTCACATAGTGAGACAGCATTTAACCGTGCTAACACTGGTCTTAAAAGTAGGGTGCAAACTTATGTTGCCATTCAAGACCTCATTTTGGCCATTTTATTAAGGCAGCATCACATCTTAATAGAGAAGACAATCCCAGAATGCATTGCAACAAGCTCTGTGAAAAAATAAATGTAATTAAATTGTTTCTTAAAGCCGCCTTTGCATTATAAAGGGTATATCATGCATTATAATTATTCATAACATGCATCGTAATACATTATATCTTGTTAATGCATTATATCTTGTTAAAATGCATAGTGTAACAATGAATTGAAAAGTGTTATAATGTAGTAACTGTGGTTACAATTATTCATGAGACTGTACAATACATTATAAGGTGCATTACAAGGCATAACTAATGCATTAAAACAACTTATACATAAAGGCTTTAAGTAAAGTGTTGTTTTATGTTGTTTTTACTCGTTATTAGGAATTAGCTTTTATAAATGTATTTTTAAAATATCTTTTAATTGTGGGGTAACACTTATTCACAGTGACCTTGTTATACATGTTATGCATGTACTTGCTAAATAACAATAAACTATGCATAATTACATGCAACTAAACCAAGCCCTAATCCTAACCCTAGCCTGAAATTAAGTACATTTAATTAATTGATATATTACTTAGTACTTGTTTGTATGATTACATCTTAAATTACCCAAATTAACCCATAGAATTATACCTCAGATGTCACCTGAAAGTGAAGTGTAACTAATTTTTGCTTAAGCTTTAGTAATTTTGTGCGTTTGCGTGTTTGTAAATATTACTATTTAAGTTTGTTTAATTGTTTTTTTATATCCTGTTACTAAATTAAAAATGTTTCAACTTAAAGGCACATTTTTCTAAATTTTCATGTAATATTTATATTTCCTTTATTTAAAAAAATATAGTATATTTAGTATATTTATATGTAGTATATTTAATATAGTATATATAATAGTCTCAGTCAACGATTAAAAAAAAAACTTTTCAGTACTGTATGATATATATTAAATAATAGTCTGTGTTGCAGCATAGGGCAACTTTTTTTGTAGTATTTTTTTTTTTTTTTGATGATTTAAATATGCATCTGATTGATAATGCTGCTAAATTGCTTTATTTACATTTATTTACAATTTACAACTTTTGTTTTTTATTTTCAATAGATTGTCGTGCAGTTTAGGCTATATACTGTATATAGATATAGTAAATAATATATAATATAAAAATACATTTTCAATGTAATATCTTTTATTTTTTGTCTGATTGTTCATTAACAAAAATGTTTTTATAGTTTATTTACTTAAAAAACTTTTCAGTGCTGCATGAAATATCCATAAAACTGTGTAACTGCTTGCTGTGTTGACAAGCTGAAATGTAATGCAAGTACTTCATTTTATTATTTAACGCAAAAATAATTCTTTAAAAAGATCAATCTAAATAAAAATGATCTATTTTAACCATCATTTGAGTTATAGACGTTCGTACCTGGGCGAAAAAGTTTTCATAGATAATGTGAGAAATTTACATATGCATACAGTATATTTGCATCATTTTAATGTGCCTGTCATTGTCTGTTTAGCTGACGTTTCATAGCACACAGAGAACATTTTGATAGTTTTATGTGCCAGAATTGTTCTTTTGAGATGATTCTTTGAATGAACTTGCTCACAAACTGAACTGAATCAGCTAGAGTGATTCTTTAACCGCTTGTATGTCTCATACAACTAATACAACCAAATATGTCACCAGAAGTATAATGGAAACACTCGATGACGCAAACAAACTGATGAATTGGCTTTTTGAATCAGTTCATTGAAACAAACTGTTGGAAAGAATCAGTGAGTCAGATTTCCCAGAACTAATGCGTGGAGTTTGTTCAAAAGCTGGGCGCTTCGATTGATTCCCGATATCGATCCGGACGTGTTGTGGTTCGAGACTCTTGACCTTCCAGTGCTCAAGAACGAAGCATTCACATACAGAAACTAAAAGATTTTATTCATCCGTCTAGAAGCATCAAAACTGCATTGGATTACATGTGCACCAACAAAACGCAAGCACTTACAGTCTTTCTAAAGAGTTGCTTTAAGATAAGAAACAAAACTAAGTGAAGCTAAGTTTTTATGATCGATCTGTGAAAATAAAAAGGTTTTTAACCAGCACAGAGAACATCTAAGCTGTCTGTGGTTTTAGGATACGATGCTTGGAGAGATTTGATCTCTTAATGGTTTTTGTGGAAGGTCAAAGAGCAGGAGATTTTCTCTTTGGTCGCTCCCTCCTTGAAAGCGAACAGAAAGTACATGACTTTGCGCACCTTGGCCAGCTCCGCGATCCTCTCTCCGAACTCCTGAATATCCGCCTCCAGACACTTGATGGGCGAGTCCTCGGCATCCCCGGCGTTCCTCCAGAACTGGCCGATGGGCTCCAGCAGCTGTCTGGTCATCAGGTTGGTCAGATCGGGCGTCCAGAGCTGGCAGATGCCGGTGACGGTGAAGCGTCCGGTTCCTCGCAGGCTGGTGTTCCAGCGGAGGAAGCTCAGGTCCTGTTGGCTGAAGTCCAGCCGGTAGACGGACTCGTGTGGCAGCAGAAGCCGCTCTCCGTCCTGCCGCTTCTGACCCTTCTGCTGTAGCGACTGCACCCTCAGACGCATCACCTCCGCCAGCTGCAGGTCCTCAGCGAAGCTCAGCTCTGTTTCTGAACCCATGAGCGGATCGTCTCGGTGCGCTTGTGCTCTGTGTGTGATTGAATAAACTCTCTCCTCTCTCAGACTTCATTTTCCATGCCGCCGCTCCACCCGCCTCTGTGGCCCCACGGGGCAAAAAGCCTGGTTAGTTGGGGACTTTATTGATTCTGCCACACAGTCTCTGAGCCTCTGGATGAGTTTGGGAGCAGGAGGAGGAGCGAACCAACCGGAGATTCACTGCTAGTGTTTGACGTGTTGCAGCACTAGGCAACAGATGCTTACTGCTGCAAAACAAACACACAAAAACGTTGAATTTTTGGTAGGGATTTGTTTTATTTTTTTTAATGTAAATATGCATCTGATTGATAATACTGCTTTTTTTCTTTTCTTTTTTTTTTTTTTTCTATTTTTTTTTTTTAATTATTATTATTTTTATTTTATTTTTTATTTTTTAAATTTTTTTTATTTTAATGCTATGCTATGCTATGCTATGCTCGCATTCCCTTTACCAAATGCATATGGACATTTTACATCATTTATTTATTATTACTTATTGTTATTATTGTTGTTGTTGTTGTTGTTGTCCTATTATTATATATAGTTTTTGTCTGATTATTTTTTATTACATTGTCATGCAGTAAACATCCAAATATAGTATAAAATAAAAAATAAATAAATATCGCAATTAAATTTTTCAGTGTAAATGCAGTGCAACGAATGCCTCTTATGATTTATATATTCTTTACTTAGTGTATTATTATTATTATTATTATTATAGACTGAGTTTATAGCATTAAAGTATTCTGAATTGAATGTTAAAATGTGCTTAACTCATGAAAATGTCCTTAAAATCTGTGTTGTTATTGTTAAGTAAAAGTAAAACTAATGCTATTGAAATTTAATTTGGGTTGTTGAAATAAAGTTGAAACAAAATATAAATATTAGATGGGAAAACTTAAAGGAAAAAAAAAAAAATATACTGTATTGGCAAGTAACTAGTACAAGTCAAGTACTAAAATTACTAAAACAAAAATTAAAATAAAATACTAAGATAATTATATTTAATAGTAAAATAGCATTGCTTTAAATAGGGTTAATTTATGCAAAACAATTATTTCATCAGAAATTAATTTCCGATTTTCTTTTTTCGTTTTGTGTTTTCTATGCATGTTCTTGAGCTTTCACTGTATGAAGCTCTTATAATTCCATGTTTTTATGGTTTTTATTCACCGTTTTTTTCCATAGGTTTGGCAGTGTGCATTTAGTTGCCTCCAGATATAAAAAGCAGTATTTCGTCTGTTCACAGGTTATCCCAGATTGGAAGGACCAGGAATGGGACAAGCAGAAGCCGGAGAGCTATGCTGGGATTTTTCACTTTCGGTTCTGGCGTTTTGGAGAATGGGTGGATGTTGTTATTGATGACCGACTGCCAACCGCAAACGGGACGCTCATCTACTGCCACTCTAACGACAGTAACGAGTTCTGGAGTGCACTGGTGGAGAAAGCCTATGCCAAGTAATTACCACAACCAATAGAAACAGAATAAATACAGGCGTGCACATATTTAAAGGGGTCATAGGATGCTACATTCACTTTTACAAGTTGTTTGAATATTGTCCTATCCTAACAAACCATACATCAATGGAAAGCTTATTTATTCAGCTTTCAGATGATGCATTAATCTCAATTTCCAAAATTTGACCCTTATGACTGGTTTTGTGGTCCTGGGTCACATTTGTGTTTCATGCAATTATGTGCTGCGTCCAGAGCTGGGTAGTAACTGATTCCATGTAATCTGGATTACGTAATCAGATTCCAAAAGTTAGATTCAATTCCATTTTAAAATACTCGTAATCAGACTACAGTTGCTGTTTTATGGATTACATGATTACGTATTATTTACACAACAGCAATAAATTATTCATCATTTATTGATTCTCCCTAATTCCTCTTTTTCATCTTTTAAATGTTCCTTTCTGAAATAGCCTACTGCTTCATTGAGAAAGTCTCCCAGTTTTGTGGACGTTCACACAGAGACCAGTCATTAGTCAGGTGCTACACTGCATTTGACCACTGATTTACAAAAATCATTTCAGGTTTAAGAAGTGTTTCAACATTGCATAAAATTCTGATGAACACATTCATTTTTATTTGAATTAGCACTCTGTAGGTTATTTAACCATATTTTTCCATGTCTTTAGAAGGCTTTTGTTGTTCAAACACATTAAAATGAATTCACAAATTCACAAATAACTTTTTTTCTCATCTGATCCTCTTTCACCTAATATATTTACTTAAAGTACACCTAAGATTTTAAAATAAGATTTTAAGTATCATTGGTTATGGTCACATGACATGCGGGTAAACAAAACAAAAACAAAAAAAAAAATATATATATATATATTTTTTTTTTTAGTAAGTGTTTTATTTTGATTGATTTTATAATGACTTTTTTTAATTTAACATTTATATGATTTAATTAATTATAGCTTAAACTCATGAACCCCCTGCAGTTTCTTTACAAATCCCAGTTTGGGAAACCTTGACATTAATATAATGTTTAGCCTCCTGAGACCCAGCTATGGACTTTTTGCCTCTGTAGTGGACATTATATTTTAGTGAATTTCTCTGAGACCTCACATGTCACAGTTTTAAGTCTGGATGTCCTGTACAGAGCACATTCAGGGCTTTCCAGAGATACCAAATGATTGGATGTTTCACCATGACCACTCCCTCTCCT